TCCCTGGGCTCCGGGAACCCTTCTGTTCGCTTTAATCGAGCGCCGAGCTGCAGCAGTAGCTGCTGCCACTGCCGAGTCCCACGCTGACTAAGCTTCGTTTCGAAATGGTCCTACTTCCAAATGTACTTAAATTTAACTGCATTTAAGTCATATGTACATCCTTAGTTCGTGATTGAAGCTCACTACTGTTAAATCAGTTCTTTTCTTCACAGAGGTAATAGCTAACATTTTGCATACCTGAAATACTACATTATTTGTGTGTTCATTGATTTTTTTTTTTTTTTAAGCTCTTAAGACTAATAGATTTTTCTTTTGTCTTGTGGATTGCAGCATTCAACAGAAGGTATCAGGTTGACAGCTCTGAATGACAGCAGCCTAGACTTGTCTATGGACAGTGATAACAGCACATCTGTGCCTTCGCCTACTAGTGCTATGAAGACGAGTCCGCTGAACAGTTCTGGAAGTTCTCAGGGGTAATGAAGACATTTGGTCTTGTTGCTCCTTTCTGTTCCTGAATTACTTGTGCTAAAAGCAGAGCAAATACTGCATGAGTGAGAACCACTGTTATCAGGGTGTGAATGCTCCAAACTGGAGCTTGCATACATTCTTATTTTCAGTCTGAGTGCTAAGGCAGGACTAAATTTGGGGTTTTAGTAAGGTTGGGTGAAGATACTTAGAACAAGGTGATACACAAACTTGGGGGCAGTGCAGTAGGAGGCTGTGAGAGTAGTGAGCAGGAAATTGAGGTGTGAGAGTGAGGAAGCTATAATGAGAGTTTTGGATCAAAATGTGACACATAGAATTTAGGCTTTCTGTTTGGAAAGTCAGTAGTGCTACTGCTGTTACTGATAATATCTATGCAAATTAAGCTTAGGAACATTTTTTTTCTATTTTATTTTCAAAGTGTACATATTAATGTTTATCTTAACCCAAACTGTGTGTTATCTTACCCTATCTAAACTCCAGGTTGCCCAAGTAAATGGGATCGTACTCTTCTCTTTCAATAGTCTCATGTACATTTATTTGATATGCAGACAGGTTAATATCAATCTCCTACAATTGTGCAGTATTAGATGTTATATTGTAGAATGTTGTGTAGGATAAAATAATTTATTGAACTTTACCACCTGTCAAAATGAATTAGCTTTTTAGTCGTCCTTGGTAAATTACTTCCAGTAGTTGATACCATGCTATCAAAACAAGTCTGTGATATCTAGGATGTTCCACTTGAAGTGGAAGTTGCTCTGTGTTGTTTTCAGGCACATATTGCTTCCCTAATTCTTGAAAACGAAAAAAAAACCCCATTTTTTGTGTTGCGGCATCCTAGGTGTTTGCTTGGGAGGTCCAGACTGAAATCATAATCACAATGGTGTGTCTAAATTGAAACCAAACTTTTTCTATTCTAGTCCTTCTACACTGGTTTTGTTCTATCCTTCAGGAAAATAATTGCTACCTTTTCCTCTGCACCTTACTTGGGCAGACATTACCTTAATTTTTACCTTTTTTAATGCAACTATTTACTGGTCTAAAGAGCTGTCTTCAAAGTGGTTAAGATTAAATATTTGAAATAGCTTCCATTGCTCAAGTTTGATAGTAGATTGCCAGTGCTCATTTCTGCTCTGTAATGTAGGCAAAATCCTATCAGCTGTTGTTACTGGCCGTGCATACGATGTGTTGAAATGCTGATCGTGTAGCACCATAGCTTTACTAACGTTTAGCATCTCATCGTTTTTTCTCTTTTTAGCAGAAGCAGTCCTGCGCCAGCTGTAACAGCAGCATCTGTGACCAACATACAGGTTTCTGAAGTCACTGTGCCACAAATAAATTCCAGTGAAAGCTCAGGGGGTAAGGAAAATGGCATAGTATATTGTTTCTATTGAGATTTTTTTTTTTTGTAATGTGTATAAAGCAGTTTTTCTTCCAGTTTGAGATCTGTACTTAACTCATGCTGTAATGTGTTCTCCTTGATACAAGGAGTTAAGTAAGTTCTTTAGGACTCAAGAAATCATGACTATATGCTATTCACAACATCAATAGGTTTTCCAATGAGGGAAAACTCTAAAGCTGGAAGAGCAACTTTCATATTTATTTTTAATGCGTTTTGTAGTTAAACCCAGGTGGTGGTTCTGTATTGTCTGTAATTTGCACTCCCATGTTCCTGCTCCTTGTGCTTCATGAAATTGATCCTAGGAATGAAGAAAACTTGGATGTAAGCAGAACACTTGCTCCTTAGTGATGTCTTTTAAAGTATGTTCTACTATGTGCTGACTTTGATCCTCCATAATTTCTACAGAAAAAGTACACTTAATACTTAGGAAAAAAAAAATAGTGAAGGAACAAAGGCTTATGGTGAAAACTTTCACTTAGTTACTTCTCTTTTTTGGTCGAACTTTATAGGAGGAGCAAGTCAGAAATTGATGGAAAACTGGTTAACTTTTCAAGATGAGATCTCTTATTTCACTTACACATGTGGGACAGTGGAGTCTTACTGTTCTCTGATTTTTTTTTAATGCCAGTCACGTGTCAATATGAGTAATTTTGTCCATCTACATGGACCTTAAGTGTCAAGGCTGCTTTTGGATTTGGAAGCATGTTGTTCAGTCTTGTGTTTTGGTTAATCAAAAATAGGCACCTATTTCTTATCCTGGAGCATCTCCCCATGCGTGCTTATTGGTTTGAAGCAACTTGAGGTAGAGCTTTGTCATATGGAGCATTTTTCAAAAGGATGTGTGGAATACCAAATCTTTATCTGATGCTCTGTGATGACTTTATCTGTCAATGCATACTTTGAGCCTGAGAAACGATAAACTTCATGTTTGAGTGACAAAGGGAGTATCACATTGCTCTTGGATTTGATTTAAGGCAGTCTTTGCCAATGTGTACTTACAGCCAAGTACAGGATCAGTAACACTTTTTTTGGTACCAAGAGTAATATATCTATATTAGTACAGAGCTCTGTCTGGGCGAGTATACCCTGCTATTAAGGTTAATTGGACCAAGCAGAGAGTCACTGGCGTGGCTACCCTGTACCTGGTACAGGAGTTCTCTCTCAGAGTGAGTCTGAAACCAAACCATGCTGTGTAAACGCGATGCTTGTACCACTTCCTTGATGAGCACTTGCTAATAGTGGTTTTGAATAGAGACCAAAAATACCAGTGACTGAAATAGTTGTGTTCAAACTCATCTGACTGAAGCTTTTAAAATTATTTATCCATAGGTACTTCAAATGAAAGCATTCCTCAAACTGCCACACAACCAGCCATTTCTCCAGCACCAAAGCCTACCATCTCTAGAATTGTTTCCTCAGCATATCTATTAAATCCATCACCAAGAACTTCAGGAAATGTTGCAACAAAAATGCCTAGCCCTGTCACAGCAGTGAAAAGGACGTCTTCTTCCCATAAAGAAGAGTCTCCCAAGAAAATGAAAATTGAAGAGGTATTTCAGATTTTGAGATCATATCATAGCAGTGTCCAAAACTGAATATTCATTTCAGCTGCAGTGCTGATTCTCGTATTCCAGGTTTCAAATATTTTGTTAAATGGGGGTTATATTTCCTACTCTGAGTGCATTGCTGCTTTATGGATTCAGCTTGCTTAGGTGTTAGAGGTTTTTCTAGGCTGATATTCATTTCAAGACATGTTTACTGTGTTAGCACAAATGCTTAGATCCTAAATTCCTGTCTTAAAAGTGTTGGGTTTTTGTTAGAATATAACATGTTAAGTTTTACGACTAATTCTGTCCAAAACCACTTTGCAACCTTATTTTCTTGTTGATTTTTAAAAAATGTGTTTATGATTTTTAATAATTTCTGGGTTTGTTTTTTTAGGATGAAATAAGTGAAGATACTAGCTGTATAGATTTGAATGAGCATGAAAAAATGGAAACTAAGGTATCTATGCTTAGACCATTCAATTTTGTGTATATTAATTGGGACATTTCCTTGTGAAAACCACTGCATTTCCCTTTAGGAAACACTGAGAGTGTTTGTAGATATATTATAGACTTTCCAGTAAAGATATCAAAATGATACGTCATTTTTCAGTGTCTGTGTCAATATTAATGAATTGCAGTATGTTACCTGCTGCCAGGCTAACCTGAGGCTGAGTCCGTAGTCACATAGTACAGTGATTTCTTTGCTGGTCATTTGCATGCTGTTATGCGTAGTGAAAAAATTAATGAAGATACTTATTTAAATTTGTTAAATCAGATCAGGGGCGTGCCTATATGCCTTGTTTTCCCTTCATACCAAACTTGATGTATGTTACTTGAAGAACAGTGTATCTCGTTGGGATTTTTGGTATGTTGGGCTGAGAATCCCAAAGCCAGGTGCTACCTTGTTCAATTTTAGATTCAAAAAATTTCAAATTATGGTAAATAAATCTTTTCTGATAGTGAAATTATTTGTATGACGTGATAGAATACCTGCTGGGAACTTCAGAGATTCAAGCATGCACCTGCAGTATCTTGTAATTTAGCAGACAATTTTTCTGCTTATTGGTGAACAGAAAGGGTGACAGTCTGTCTCTCCAGTCTTATGACAGCAGCACTCTACTTAGGCATAAACAGGTTTTTACAGGGTATGTTCTGTTGTCTTTTGGAATACTCTGGAAAATATGCTGAGAAAATACATATTAAAATGCTGAAGCGTAAGTGAAGTGGTTTATAGTTTCCACACCCCTAAGTGAGTAATTATAGCTTGTTATGTAATCGTCTTGAAATCCCTTTGACCTCAAGACAGGTGAAGGCAGAAATGTATGTAAGCATTTATAATCCTAACACTGAAAACAGATCCTCCGGATGCCAGTCACTATAAAAGACAGGTAATCCTGTTAGCTTTTTTTTTTTTGGTCAGTCTCCTATAAATGTTATGTCCTTATAATTCATAGAAGGAGATGGAAGAATGAACTTCTTCAATCAGCATTAAGATCGGTTTTTCTCCTTTGAAACGCATACCTTTTTGTTAGGGTGTGGTTTACCAAATGGTACAATTTTACCTAACAGGTTGTTTTCATTAAAGTGAGAATGTACCACTGTCCTGCTTTAGCCTTTCAGTCCCACTCTTTGACAACCTGGCTCTGACATTCATCTGTTCATCCAGAAAACTGATTCAGCCTATTAAAGTAGCAGGAAAACTTTTCTGGCAGAATGGTGAAAGGAGGGGAAAAGTAGTTGAACAAATTCAGCAGCTTTTCACATGGTCTTTCTTGATCCCACACTTTTTGTCTTTAACTAGTTGAAGGCCATGTAGTGTTTTCCTATAGGATTCTCTTTAAAAGATGTTAAGTGGTTAAACCGGTGACAACTGAAAGTGATGTAGCTTGTGTTCATGTCAAATTCCTAATCAGCAGAACATTTAGTGTGGTGATTTCTGGACTATAAAAGGATGGGTATCTGCAGCAAGTACTGATACTTGCCTTTTTTATTTTTGCTGTATATGCATGACTTAAGGCATTCTGGTTAACGGAGTTCGTTCTGTATAAATAGCTTTTACAATTGGAAGCGGTGTAACTATTGATGCTTTTGGGTTTTTTTTAGGAGCAACTTGAGACAGAGGTGAATGTTAATTCTCAAACAGAAACTCTTCAGACAACTTCTCTGCAAGCTCCTCAGGTACTGTTTTTAAAACACATCCTCTGTGTGTATGTGTGCTCATCTGTGGTGAATACATTGAAATTAAAATGAGCCCAGTGTTAAAAATAAATGTATAATTTTTAATAAAAATCCATTGTATGGAAAGCTGCTTGTTGTTACTGTCACAATTTTTGTGTTTTAGATGGTCATTGATCTTATTGAATGTGCATTGTAGCTAAACATGTATGGCTTGCCATACAAACTGACCGAAGCTGGATTCGCTCTTCTGAATTGTGCCTTCAAAGTAAGGGGCTCAGTTTATTCCTTTGTGCTTTGCACATCACAGAATAATCCTTTCTAACAAGGAAACAATGCTTTAAATAGCTGCTGCTCTAAGATATCCTGGTAGAGGTTGAGAATGTCTGAAATGTAACTTCAGATTCTTACACTTGGTATGAGAGAGAGGGAAGTTGTGGTCTTATAATTCAGTAGCCAGCTGTGTTGCTTCACTTCAGATAGGAGTGTAAGGAGCATTGGAAACAAATACGCATTAAGAATTCCGTGGCGTTTGCTCAAATATTTGTTCCTAATATTGTAACAACTTTCAAAGAACATGTCCTTGTCTTCACTAGCATTTTTAAGCTTCTTTTAGTTCTCTACTGATTAAAGTGACACTGTCACAAAGCATTTTATGCACACTCTTCTCATTAAATGATGTGTAGTGAATGTATTGATTAAAACTAGAGATGCAATAACGTTAATGGTATTTGTTACTGGACTTTCAACTACATGAGCAGTACTGAATAAAGGTACCAAAATTGTTTGGCAGAAATTCAAGATGTTACATGGGTACCCTAAACTGCTTCAGGGAAGTTTTTAGATGATTTAGCACACCAAGTTTATTTTGCCCATTCTTGAGGGCTGGTTACATAAAGCTTAAGCAAAAGTACGGTGGGTCTCTTCTGCCATCTTTCAGTGTTCTCATTGGCTTTAAGATGCTGCTCATGTTGCAGAAAATAAACATTTCAAACTGCAGGTCGTCAGCACCAAACAGGGGGCTGCTGGGGACAGGGAGCAGGCGGGAAGTCAAAGCTATTTTGCCCTGAGTTCTTGTTGCATTGTGCTTTGCTACCGTATCAGTCAGTGTTAACTGTATTGCTTTGTCATAAAACAACAACCAAGAGCAGTTACTAATGCAGTTTTTCCCATGTATTGAATGTACTTTATTTTAAATGTACTGAATGTATTGAATGTACTTTAATTTTGAATGTTTGCAACATAAGAAAACATTTTCTGATAAATCATGGGAAGTAATGCATCATAACTGGATTATTGGGATGTCAAATAATCTGCTGAAGTGGAGGAGAAATACTTTAATTTAAAAGAAAAAACAAAACCAAACAACAGTAATAAAAGACTTATTAAGCATTTGAGAAATTAATAACTAACTGAATAGTGAGTGTTCCTTTTCTGTGTTTGCCTTTATTTGGCTTTAGATGGAATTTTGCTGAACGGGATTTAAGTATTTTAAGTGAGAAAAAAGTTTACAGATTATTTTCAAGGTGAATTCTTATCGTAGTCATGTAGCACTGTTTGAGTTCATTATACCTCTTCGATGTAAGTCTAAACCAATATGAAAAGTTGGAAGTTTGGCTGTGAAGAGCCTTTACGTAGTCTGGAATGTGAGTGTATGGAGACACGTACTTTGCATTGAGGATGGTTTTTCATCATTCAGCTGTAAGGGGCTGAGGCTTAACACTGAATTGTTCAAATGAATTTTTAGGTACTAACCATGCAGATCAGGTAGTGGATGCCACCAATCAAGCATCCTTACGTGTGTATTATGGTTTATTATCATACAGGTTATTGATAGGCTAAGCTTTATCTTCAGCACTTTAGTATTTCTTGCAGTTGTTGAAAGAGGAAATGCATACTATGAAAGAGGCTCTTGTACAAATTTTCCTTAATTATGACTGTAGGCAAAGAATAGCAGCTTCCATATTTATGATTTGTGACTATCTTTATCTTTGTATATTCCAAAAAACTCTTCTTAAGATTGTGTTCTTGCAAGTTAGTGCCAATTACTAGTATTTCCTTTTATATTTACAAAGTTAAAATACAACCAAACTTCTTTTTTCTTTTCAGAAAACACCAAGTACAGACCTTTCAGATATCCCTGCTCTCCCTGCAAATCCTATTCCTGTTATCAAGAATTCAATAAAATTGAGATTGAACCGGTAAAAACAACCTCAGGGGTCCATAAACAGTATCTGCCAACTCAACCTGTTGTCTTCTAATGCTAGAAAAAAGGAGAACGGAGGGTGCAAGACTAGAACATGATCGCAAATGGATTTAGGTATATTTTGTGCACTTCCCTTTCTGGGCTAAAATCACCACTTGATTGGAAGTCCAGGTTAGTATGTGAAGCCAGGAGTACAATTAATGTGTTAGCAACAGTTGCATTAAATATTTCGAAGGATTACTGCCTTTAAAGTCATGAACACTATTTGTAGCCATATTTGACATTCTGGTTGAATTTGTTTGATGAATTGTTTCAAAATTGAGATAAAACTGGCATAAGAATCCCTTAAATGCACTTTTATGTACTTTTTTATTGGAGTATGACTAATTTTTAGATCTTCAGCTGATACACTTTGCTTTATTGAAGAATCTCTTCAATACAAGTGATCTGCAAATTGGATGACATTCTGTGATATACTATACACTTGGTTTTCAATATATAGTATATCTAGTTCAACTGCCATCGAGCAGCAATAAGCCTTTAAAATGAAATGTCAAATCCTGAGGTTATAAGACTTATGTTGAGGAATTAATTGGGAAGTTTTGGTATTGGTGGGACATGATTAAGATGTGGTCTATTTTTATTTATAGGATTGTTTTAAGGTGCATACAGATCAGCAATGAAACAGTAAATAAACTTTCCTTTGAGCTGATCCAACTCCTTTTTCCCTTTTTTGATCCCTTTGTTTCTTGGGAAAAGCTTTTGCATTTAATGTTGGGGTTTTTTTGCAGCTTGTATGCACCACGTAGGACAATAGTTACTTAAACAAAATGAAAACAAGCCAGACCCTCAGTTGGGTTCCTCCCTGCCTCTTACCTAGTTGTAATACCCTGTGGCCTATAGGCACAAATTCAAAATTTTGTCCCATGACTAAAGTGTTTAAATAAATACTGTGTGCCTGTGAAATATAACACCTATCTTGATGGCCTTTGAATCACTAAATAGAAGATGAATTTTGTACACTCCATAAAAGTCCTGTATGCGTTAAAAAGCTTCAAATTTTAAATAAAGGCAAAAAATTTTCCCTAAGGATTTTAATCTTTTTATTTTGAGGTGGCTCATCAGAAATAATTTTACATACTGAACAACATTGAATTTTTAAATATCATATTTCTAGTAAGCACTTGACATCTAGTAAGCTCTCTTACTCCTATATTTTGTTCTTGTAGTCCTATCAAAAAAGTAACAACTTTTTCTTTCAAAAGAACTGAATCTCTCATGGTGAAGAACAGCAGTATTTGAGGAACGTGAGGGATACCAACAGTAATACCAGATGTAGATATCAAACTTCATGTTACTATTACTTAAGTCTGAAATACATGGGATGTCAAATCATACTTCCCAAACTTTGATTAGCATGTTTTATGAACTCCCTTCTCCCATTGTGCTCCATCCTATTACACGTGCATCTTTCATGTTAAAATTAAATTACTTACACTCTTCCCCTTATCCTTCTAAATTAAGTCTCCAAAGTCAGAGTGTAGCTTATCTTTTACTTAGGCTGTGCAGTAACTGAAGGGTTTTTTTTGCCATTTGTCTAAGATGTCTAGTATACAATATTTCTCTTTTCCTTGCCCTGTACAGCCTGCTGTCGTCCACCCCCCAGAGAAGGTTATATTAACAGTTGAAGTGTACAAGGTGTCTGTGTATTTTGTGTAGCTATGGAGTTTAGATCGAAATTGCCAGGCACAAATTTAGTCTTGTCATTTTGTTTACACATCGGAAAAATCTTTCTTTCATTTTATTAAACGTTTCATGTAACTGCACCCAAGTTTTGCCAAGCTGGAAACTTGGAACCTTTCTGTATAGTGACTTTTTAATTCTAGTTTTCATAACCTGGAGATCAGACTGTTGCTTTCGCATGATGTACGTAGTGTCTCATGACTGGAGTTTGCTTTGTTTTATAGTATCTGTACTCCTTGTATTTTTCAAGAGCTATTTTGTAAACAGATGATGTATTTCTCCATTGAAAACACAATAAAAAACAGCACAAGCCCATAGTTGTCTGATTTTTCTGAACTACAAAATTGATTTTACTCTCTAAAGTCATACTTAACTCTCTGCTAAGACGAAATACAGTATGTCCTAAAAGAAACAGTGCATAAGTGAATGTTCTCTAAATGAGCACGATGATAATGTAGGGAGTGGAAGTAACACTTGGCAGGATGTTGAGTTCTACTCTGTTAAAGGGAAAGGTCGTGGATTGTGCAGTGGCTTGGCATGGGCAGTTTATTGCCCCCTCCCTTCCCCTTGCAAACCAAAACATCCATTCCCCATCTCAAAAGCTTAAATTCTTAACTACTGACAAAACTAGAAGAAATGTGTGCATAAACAATTTGGGGCTGTACTGTTTGCTTTAGAAGTTTGAATTCAGTTTTTTAAAAATATTAGCTGTAACAGTTTTGGCCGCTTACACTTGCTTTTCTTGCAAGTGACTATTTCTTACGTCAGCAGATGGCACTATTTCTCTTCTCGTCAAGTAGTGTAAGCTTGCCCTGAAATAAAAGTAAAAATTACAAGTAGCTGCGCATCACTTGATTGATCTTTGTATCAGCATGAGCCCAATCCTCCAAATGCTTGATGTGAGTAACTTTATTAAGTAGCCTTCTTTTGACTAAAATGTCTTTAACTGCTAAAACCACTGATGATTATGGTCGTCTTATTATAATTACCCTGCCTAAAACAATAAACCTTTGTGTTGTATATATTTTTCACAGCATGCAATTGCTTGTCTTGTTTAGAACAGATCCATCATCTTTATATCTTGCCCACCCTGTCTCCCTTTCATCACAGCTGATGTTATTTATGGCTTTAATTCCTCTTTTATTTTCTTCAACCAATAAAAATCTGCTAGTAGATATACAAATTTCTGTTCAGTGTTTCTCAGTCTACTGGCAATAGGCTTCCATGGGCTTGTTTTTCTGAGTTACTAGTCACGAACCTTCAGAAGTAAGTTCACGGACTTGTGAGGATCTGCAAACAAGAAGCCGAAAATTACTGTTGTAGCCAAAATAATTAACATTAATAAGCCATGGTTCTAACAGATGGCTGTAGACATCCTGTTTTGAATCAGACATTTGAGCTGATGAGTTCTAGCTGAAGTTGTACTTCCTTGCTGTAGGTAGTATGTGTGCATGGCATTTCTTAGTGCATTTCTTTTTCTTTGTTTATTTTTAAACTGTGAGATCTTTAATCTTGCAGCTACAAGTATGTAGAACTCGGTAGTAATGAGTTATCAATTGATAGTAAATGAACCTTAATGAGAAAACCAATTGTAATGAACTATAAAAGTTAGAACGGAGTTCTTCAGCTTCTAGGAAAAAAAACCAAAAATCATTGTAGCAGCAACAGGCTGGATATTACTGTGCCAGAATCTATACTTAAAAGCAAGAATGTGGTAGTTTCTGAGGAACCAAAGTATGTTTATTTTCTCATAATGCATATTTTCTTAAGTTGTGTGCATTTCTACAAAAGGCATTTTGCCTGTTGAAGTGTGATCCTGGCGTCCTTCATGTGACATCATAACCATACTAGTCAGTTAGCTTTCCTGTGCTTAATCTCTCTTCAGCAACGTTGTGGCTGAACAATACTTAATTTTGTCAGTCTTGATATTACTCTCGAACGTCCATAAACACAGACATCAGCTGCGTACTTGGTTCACGTTGGTTTTTTCAAGATCCACTGTTCATATTGGAAAAAAGTCAGTAATAAACTGTTTTTAGTTTAATAATATTAGTAGTTTTAAGGATCTGTTCAATAGAAACAAAGCATATTGGATTTGTTGATAGAGGCAGATGCAGTTTGATACGTCTACAAAGTTCAAACTAATAATTTGAAATATCTACAAATATCAAACATCTGCTGTTGTAATCACCAAAAGAATGTGAACTTTGATATCACGCTTCAGGGGGAATGTTTTGTTATGAAAAAGATAATAGGATGTCCCATCTGGTTTTTGGATATTTAAACTCCAATGGTTTTTTTCATAAAGTTTAGGCATATTAGTGTTGTTCTGACTAAATTCTGGGATGCCATCTTTTAGGTAACTTTTTTTTTTCCCTTCCTCCCATGTGTAATGAATTAACCAGATCACCATTCCTACTCAGCATGTCTGATTATTTTTTTTAATGACCACTACAGAATGCTTAAAATAAGCTAAGATTGATAATTTCATACACACTATTAAATTTTTACCTCAGACTCTAAAGATATGGATCTAGAAAAAGTCGAATTTATCAGCATACTAATGGTTGGTGGGGAAAAAAGTGTAATGGTATAAGCAGATATTATCAAGCTTGTTTTTTGCAGTGCATTACTGTCTTTAAATAAGAGGCAGAATCCAGGCAAGGGTAAAGAGGAAAATTACTACTGAGGTAAGGTGATAAAAACTCCAGCGTGCTGGGTAAGGAAAGCTTGCTGCTTTATTTAACCTAAACAACAACAACAGAAAAATAGCCAATGCATTTAAACTGCCCCATAATAACTGTGGCCCACTCGGGTACCGGACAGCTTATGTGCGCAAACATCCTTCTGTCTGTCCGATTTGCGCGCCAGCACGTCTAGCTCATCACGCGTGTTACGTTTGCATTTTTAGAAGTAAATTTCCTCAGTGAGGCTGCTTAAGTAAACAAATGTTTTACACACCTAAAATCTGCACATCAATTCAAACTTTTCAGTTCATCTAAGATGATTTCTGTGATGTTAGGTCACGCATCCTTCATCAGTTGGGCATTTCAAACGGCACTGAAATATAAATGGGGGGGTGTGGGAAGAAATCCTGGACATTTGAGGAATAACTTCCCTGCCTCTCCCCCGTTAGAAGTTTGATTCTAAGTACAGCAAACACGATGGATGATACTTTTAAAACGGCACGTAGCAGTTCTGCGCTGCAGCTTCTGCTTCAGCTGCGCGGCAACCTTGCCCTCCGTGCTGTCGGATGCTGTGCGCCCCCCAGAAATCTGGCATGCGCGCTGTCCTTGTTTGCGTTCTCGGTCTGCAGTGGAGCTGTTAATAAAGAGATTGATGATAAAGTTGTCGAAAAGAGACAGTTGGACAGGACTGCTCACCATGAGTGACAGAGGGCATGCTCTGCCTTCGCAGCCAAGAACGCTGCCCCCAGCAGAGCGCCGGCCATGCCTGGACGCTGTGCCAAGCCTGTTTGGTGCATGGGGACAGGAGCCTGCAGTTTATGAAGCGTTTCTATTTGATTTTTAACTTGTGTTCTTAAAGTGAGATTTCCTTTACTTAGGATTGTCACACCATTTAAAAAAAAAAAAAAAAAGAAAAAGCATGGCCTTTTGAGAACAAATGTGGTTTCAGCAGCGATACAAAGGCTAGTGTTAGATAAGTTCTGAAATTTTTGTAAATGATCTATTCGGATTTTAAAAATATTTAATTGTGGTCTGGTTCGATGAGGTGAAATAGAGATATCTTGTTCTTAAAATTACCAATATTTGCTTTTACAGAGAATAAATGCATTATTCATGTACACAATCGAGATATTAGCTTCTGTAGGAATCTCCCTGCCAAGATGTCATAAACTTGATTCAACTCAGTAACATGGTTGGAATAAGAGAAGCCCAGGATGTTGTCTCAGCTACAGTTTACCATATATATTTTTTTTTTTATCCATCATGATGTACGAAAGAGTAAGACTGATAAAAACATTTGATAGTTTGGGCCATCTGCTCACGCAGTATACTAGAATTATTGCTGGTTATTCCTAATGTTTCTTAGCTTCATGCAGAAGAGTGTGTTGATTTTTCTACACACTAGTGATTAC